CGTGACGGCCTTGGACCAATGGGCAGGCTGCCTGCGGCAGGTCTTCCTATAAAGGCGCCTGCGGCTGCCGCCTAGCGGCCACCATTGGGGCGAGAGCTGGCGACGACGGACGGACGGTGGCTAGCTCCTGCCCCGCACCGGCTCATCGAGTGCAAACTGGATGGGGCGATCAGAGAAGGCCCCTTTCTTAACAGGTAATATATCCTCTCCAGGGCGCGTCACCCTAGGCCGGCCCCCGGGTGCCACCTTGGGGGGGGGAGCGACCGTTTTTTTCCCCCCCCCGCTCCCCTCCCCCATCCGCATCCTGCGACGGGCCAGGCGGTTGGGGAGGCCATCCGGGGCGTGCTGCAGCCCAGGTGAGCTGCCGGTCGCTGTCCTCTGGCCTCCCCGACGGCAGGCTCCTGGTCCCCAGCGGGCCTTTGGCCGCCCTCCCTCTTTCCCCCTAAGTGTCTCTTCTTTCTGCAACGGGGTGGGGGGGAGAGGGGGCTGGGAAGGAGGTGGGGGCGGGAGTCCCGTTGTGCAACCGCCTCCCCCGCCCCGTCTCGAGCAACACTCACGGTCTTTGTAGTTCCTCTTAGGTCTTGGATTGGTGGATCGCTGCTGCTTGTACTGTAGTTTCCAGAACGGTGGAGAAAGTATGGAGCGTTTAGATTTAGCTGGCGTGTTTTTTGGGGGGGTGGGTATACTGCGAGTTTGGGACTGGGACATCGCGGCCCTTGCTTCGTGTATGCTAATCAGCTGACCTTGGAACCTGCTAGACCCTCTCGTGGGTGCTGCAGAATTGAGGCAGGCCGAGGATCTCCGGGAGGTGTTGAGAATTAAGGTTGGAGGTAGGTATGGGACGCTTTGGGGGTCATGGGAAGGGCCTTGGCGGATGGACGGAAATGCGGGAGGCTTCTCCCCAGAGGTAATAACTCGCTGGGTCTTGAGGGACGAGTGGAAGTGAGGCTAAAGAACCATGAGGGAAACCGAGATAAAGAGGAATTTCTCAAAGGCAGTTGTGCACACAGAGTGGGGTGGGGCAGTGGAGAATTGCAAGATATATTTTTTAAAGACACAGGCTGTATTTTTTAGTGTTGTCCAGGCTGAGGTGCAGTGGCTATTTGCAGGTGCAGTCATGGCCACCTACAGCCTTCAACTCCTGGCCTCAAGCAGTCCTCCTGCCTGGGCCTGCTGACTAGCTGGCACTAGGGGTGTCTCACCACAATTGTCCCACAGGTGTTGGGGTGGGTGGAATAGCAAGAGATGAGTCGAGGGAGACCACCGAGGGGACATGTTCTACAGGGGTCTGTAGATCGTGAAGGACAGTAGGCTGAACAGTGTGTAGTCTGCAAGTTGCAGAACAAAAATCAGGACGTCACTACTGCATTAATTTATGGTATAAATGACCGAACAAAAGTGTGTTTGGGAGATGGAGACTAGGAACACAGTCAGTATCCAGAATATGTAAATTGATATCTGGCAGTCATTTGTTTAGAGGTGTTTGATACCTTGAAGTGACAGAGTTTGGCATAAGGGGAGTGTATAGATGGAGTTTACAAAAACGGAAAACCGCCGGGCTTGGTGACTCATGCCTGTAATCCCAGCACTTTGGGAGGTGGAGGCGAAAGGATTGCCTGAGCCCGGCGGGTTTGAGACCAGCCTGGGCAACTTGGTGAGACCTCCTCTCTACAGTAAATCAAAAATTAGCTGAGCGTGATGGTATGCGTCTGTATTTCCAGCTACTCAGAAGGCTGAGGCTGAAGGATCTCTTTGGTCCAGCAGGCCAAGGCTGCAGTGGCTGTGAGTGCCACTGCACTCAAGCCTGGGTGACAGAGTGAGACTCCTACTCAAAAATAAAAAAGGAAAATGAATAACCTTGGGGAACGTGTATGGGTATGTATCGAGCTAGTGCCTATTAACAGTGGTCTGTGAAGAGATTCTAGCCCCAAGTTCTAGCTCAGTGCTTGGCACCATTGTAGGTGCTTTTTACATGTTCAATAAATGGACAGATAAGATTTGGAAAATGGTATCCTGGAAACCAGATGAGAATTTTAAGAGTCATAATAGTCTAGTGGCTGTTGATGCTGAGAGGTCAGGTAAGATAAGGCATCCACTAGACATAATAATTCAGTATGGTGAGTATTCACCTTAACGTAAGGGGAGCTTTAAGGGAATCATGGGGAACAGCCAAGTGTGAAGTGGGCAGTAAAGACAATGTTGTTTCCTGGGATGCTCTGGTGTGAGGAACAGAAGGGAAGATTGAGGCTATGAGGAGATGACAGGATGAAGGAAAGAATTTTCAAGGAGACCTCAGAAAGTCTGGGTGGAGGGAAGCTAGTCTGGAAATCTTGAAGAGAGGGAAGAGCTTTTATGAGGGATGTTATCTGAAGTCCTGGGAGAAGAGTTCTGGACAGGAAGGGGTGCCTCTTTAAGCTGAAGGGAAGAGCGGGTGAGCAAATTGAATCATTGCAAGAATATACATGTTGTACCAGTTACCTCTGGCCTGATCTAATTTCAAATAAACTGTTTTCTCCCTTGAACTGGAGACGGCTCGTTTGGTGTTGTAGGATTTAGATCAGTATATAAGCTTATCACAGGCACGGTTGCTTTGCTCTTGAGTTCTGTGTTGTGCTGCTTCTCTGCATGTGTGAGGCCGTTGAAGTTTCTACCAGGAGTGCTGTCGCACAGAATAACTTGCTGCCATTTGTTGAAATAGATGGAAATTCATTTTTAAAACTATCTTTCTTCAGAGCCTCAAAAAATTCATCTGTACTTATTGAAATTGAGCCTTCTGGGCTCAAGATATGTCATATTTTTAAAAGTAATTTTTGTTTTTAATATTTTTATTTTTTAATTACCTGAATTCTTTGCCACTCCAGTATGCATATAGGGCAATAGAATTTAATACCTGCACCACTGCAGTTAGTAATCATTGAGGAATTAAGCAAATATTTTCTTGGCAAATTGAAGAAATTGGTTGGTCCTGACGTTTTTGAAAGAAGAAACCTTTGCCAAAGATCAGACTCTTCCTGACATGCCTTGGCATCTGTTCAGTTACAGGTGAACTTTATGATTCTTGAAATATTTTGGAAACATTTTTTAGCTTATGTATGCATTTTAGAACATCTTTGGTCTATGAAATTGTCAGTAATGACTTTGAAATATGACAAGACCAGGCTCGGTGGCTCAGCCTGTAATCCCAGGACTTTGGGAGGCAAAGACAAGTTCTAGACCCGCCTGGGCAACTTGGCAAGACCTCATCTCTACAATGAATCAAAAAAAATAGCTGGACATGGTAGCGTGTGCCTGTAATTCCGGCTACTTGGAAGGCTGAGGCGGAAAGATCGCCAGAGCCCAGCTGGTCGAGGCTGTGGTGGCCAGGAACCTGCCACTGTACTCCAGTCTGGGCGACGGAGTGAGACTCCAACTCAAAAAAAAAAAAAAAAAAGAAATATTGACAAGCATCTCAAAGGATCTTTTTCTTAGAAGATTAAATTTTCACTCATACATTGTTGATGGAAATGCAGGTTGGAATAACCTGGAGAACAATTAAACATCTAGCAAAATTTGAATAGGCATTGACCCAGGAATTATTAATAGGAATATGTGCAATAGGTATTGGCATATATATACAATTATATCTATTACATTGTATATAATAGCAGAAGGTTGGAAATAACCATGGTATCCGTATGTTGCCATACATATGGCGGTGTAGTAGGTAGTCATTAAAAAGAAATGGGCAATAATGTATGTCCTGCCATGAGATATTTTTGAAGCTAAATTAAGTGCAAGAAACAGACCATTTCTGAAAGGAGACACAAGAAATTGCTAAACAGTAAAAGGGGATCTGGTTGGCTGGGGGACAAGGCTGGAACATTTTGAAACTTTGTTCTATGCCAATTTCATACCACGTGGCTATTAAATTTAAATAAACTTTTTAAAAAAAGAAATCCCTAAATGATACATTCTTTAAGAATTTCTCCAGAATTCCCATGGTTATTTTATTAGTTATTGAGTGGGCAAAAGGGATGTGATTTTCGGGTAACTTGTTCATGGAACCATAAACTGATTTAACAGTGATGCTGTGCTATCATGTGATTGTCTTCAACAAAGTAAACCAGAACTTTGCAAAATCATTTATGATTTATTGTCTTGGAGCAATTGTAATGGGTGTTACTGCATAACATTAAATTCTTATTGACATTAGAATTCATTTGTCCATGACATCTCTCTTAAGAGATAAATCCACGGACAAAACATGTTTTAAAGTAGAAATTACAATAAAATGACAACATCCTATAAATGTTAGAAACAACAGTGGACTTTCACATGAACAGTTTAGGCCACAGATTATGAGCAGTTGCCAGTATAATTGTTATTCTGTATTTTTTTTCCTTCCTTAAGATAGCATATTGACATATAAGTGATTTTAGAGAAAACCTTAAATTAACCAATCTGTTTAAGGACAAATTACTTCTGACACTGCACAACTAATTATGACACACCATTATATCAAGATAAGGTAAAGATCTCATTTGGGATCTGTTGCAGGACTATTGTGATGGCATTTTCTGTTTTCTATTAATAATTAAGAATAAGAGTTAATGATAAAGGGTTAATGATAAAGACAAAGGCTTTAGATAAAGTAGTGAAGATGACAGCTATCTAGCACAAGAATTTGCCTAGTATCATAAAAGAAAGACTGCATAAACTCATCTTTAAAAAATTTAAAATAAGAAACAAGATTAAAACACTGAACAGTGTCAAGTGCAGTGGCTCACACCTGTATTCCTTTACTTTGGTAGACTGAGGTGAGCAGATTACCTGAGCCCTGAGGTTGAGACCAGCTTGGGCAACTTGGGGTGATCCCATCTCTATAATAAATCAAAAATTAACCAGATGTGGTGACGCACGCCTGTAGTTCCAGCTACTTGGAAGGCTGAGGCGGAAGGCTCACCTGAGCCCAGTAGGTCAAGGATGCAATGGCTGTGAGCATGCCACTGCAGTCCAGCCTGGGTGATGGTTTGAGACTCCTGAACTTAAAAAAACAAAAACAACACTAAACTGTAAGGCTAGTGCAATTAAAATGAATAATTGGTAAAGGGGAATATTCTTAGCCTTGTTTTGTTTGACAGCCAGCTTCACGCTTCACTCCATACGCGAAGCCAGGGCCTTCAGCCAAGGAATGCAGCGCAATCTCTCCTGAGAAGATAATCAGATTATCAAATATTGACTAGTGTTTGCCCAGTATCAATTACATGTGACTAGGGACTGGCTGTCATATTGACTAGCACAGTGCTAGCCTCTGAATTTTCTACTAAATGAAATTTAAATCTAAATGCTTAATTACATTCAATTGGACATTTTTGACAAAAAGCCTTTATAGATGATTTATAGATACTACGTACTTAGCCATGCTGAATACTATAGAGAGGTCTAGGAAGATAACTGAGGGAAGACCCTTGAGGATTTTGAATGTTTCAAAGTATTGGTATTTGTGGGAGAGCAAATATTTTATATTTGCAGTCAAGCATAGAGCAAAATTTTTTTCAAATAGACTTCATTTGGGATTCACAGCAAAATTAGGCAGGAAGTACATACTTCTCACCTACCCCTGTTCCTACACAGGGACGGCCCCTCTGCCAACGTC